GAGGAAACATTATAACTTCGATCAGAAAACACAGTAATATGGGCCTCTGAATTAAGAAGAGTCATGAGATTTGATCATTATCAACTGCGGCTTCATATACATATTTGAATGCCAAGATTGTCTCGCACCAACATCTCTAAAGCCTATAGAAACACTGCATAAATGAGCACTAAAAACCCGTGATAAAAAGCCTTTCCTGTACCACCACTGCTCAATACTTGTCAAATGTGAGATTGCTTAAATTTAATCAAATGTTAACCTTATTTAAAATCATTCATAATTCAGCTGCTCCCCCACTGAGAAAGTTTGCGGTGGTCATTTCAGAGAAGACCTGCAGAGCCACATGATCCACAGCCAGAGAGGAGCGCAGTGTTCCAAGGGGCAGAACTTCATTTGGTCAATCATCATTCTCCTACAGAGCCATAAGCCTCTGAAACAGCCTCCCACATGAAATTATATCATGTACAAATTATGAAATGTTTGCACGCCTGACCAAACAATCACTTTTAACCAAACAGACTTGTACACATTAATCTGTCCTGTATGAATGCAGCAATATGAACTTTAAATATGTAAATAGTGTATGGATGTGATGTCTGAGACTGAATGGGACTATAGTTTTACTTACTGATTGACTGGATGAATGATTGCATCAATATGCATTGTTTATTTTATTAACATGTACACCATTTATGACACAAACCTGTCCAGGGACTGAAGGTGGAAATTAGCACTTTTGCTATAGCCTAGCACAAACATATGGTAAATGGTAAATGGTCACATTTTTCTATAGTGCTTTTCCACCTTCAAGGCACTCAAAGTGCTTTACAACAAGGAACCACTCACCCATTCACACACACATTCACACACCAGTGTACACAGATACTGTGGGCAAGATGGGTTAAGTGTCTTGCCCAAGGACACAACGGCAGCATTCATCTGTGGGGAATCACACCAGCCAACCTGTGGGTCAGTGGATCTGACCGCTCAAACTGTGATGTTTAAGTCGAGAGCTGGAATCGAACCACCAACCATAACATAAACATATGACTTCTTTGTGTATTTCAATGTTTTTATGTGCATTGTCCTTGATAAATAAACAAATAAACTAAAAACTTAACTAAATTATACCAACTAAAGTGCCTTGCCCGTTAACACAATATATCGTATTTGTCTAGCAAGGTCTGTCATCTGGGATGTGTTGCATAGCCAGGAAATTTCAACATATGGCACTGAACTTGGGGACAAGCAGGTAGTGGCACCAGGTCATGTTACAGATCAGATCTGTGAAGAGGCAACCCCACTCACTGTAAGAATGCATGTTTTTTGAGAATTGCATAAACTCATAACAGAATAAATAGATATCTTTAATGCCATACTGTGAAACATGCAGACAAAGCAATAACATGGAGCCAAGCAGATGGCAAACTTCCCATCAGAAAAGTTACACAGTGTGCTTATCACATTGTAATACTACACTATGAACAAAGCAGTGAGCAAAAATAGCTATTTCTTTGAAAAAAAAAGTGAACAAACCTCAGAGAATCGAAGAAAGAGGTCTTAAAATAAACTTAACTTGGTAACTAGGGTTGGTGTAAGTGGGTTAGTAGCCCTGAGAATAGGCCTACATAGATCAGTACAGTAACAGTTTAATTTAATCACTGCCAGTTATCACCAGTTCTGAGCGAAAGGCTGCCCCTGATAAGCTTACACAGAATCTGCACTGAAGACTGAAAAGAGAGACGACGAGTCAAGCAGACAACTCATCCTGTCACAAGATTGACTACATCCACTTATCGTTCAATATATAACAGATGGAACAGTCATTTTGGAGATCAATATTTATCATGGGTATTTTTACTTTGTACTTTTGAGAAATTTTCTGTATTATGATAAGATTTAAGTTGCAGAAGGTTGAATTATGAACTTCTATGACTCATAAACACAAACCATCTACTTAACTGTCATTTATTTATTGCTGCTTTTTTAATTAATTTATTAATTTATTTATTTTTTATATTATACATTTAGAATAGTTTTTGAGAATAATTCTGCTTTATGGTTTGGATTCAATATTATCATTTATCGTCTGTTTGTTTCAGCAATATATGACACTTCAAACATGTGTTATCGTGACAGGCCTACAGACAACCAGGAAATCTCTGAAATAACACAAAACATGGTATTTCAAACAACTTTTAGCATCAGCCTGGTGCAGTGATGAATTCAAGCACAGAAAATTATACTACTACAGTGGCAATTTGCAATGGCAAGAAAACTGGACCCTCAAACTACTAATCACTCATATAACCACCACTGACTTACCTTCTGAAGAAAACTGTATTGTTACATCCATAATATTATTATATTATATAGTAATATAATCTGTTTTATATTAATAGGTCCTTGAGAGCTTTAGGAAACCAATCAAGGGTCCACCAAATAAAATAAAAAAAAAGTCAGTCAGAACAGGGCTGTAAGATTAATCAAAATCAAAATCGCAATTTGAATGACCGCAATACTCAAATAGCAAAAACTGCAATTATTTATGGCCTTTGCAAACAAAATATCCTGTGTTATTGTCTAAAAAAACTGAAAACTCTAGTTTAGTCCTCTACCAACATGTTCTGAAATGCATGGGATTGCTGTATTCGCTTAGCAGTTTATGTTAAAATTAAGTCTGTCACAATACATTTTGAAGCACAGTATATTACTTATATAAATATAGACAAACAATAATTTTGAAACTAATGTAGGCCACTGACACAAAAACCCACAAAACATGAGCTGTATTCAACTTTTTACAGCTCAAATCTTATTGTATAACCAAAATGAAGCACAATATACTACTTAAGTGAATATAGACAAACGATAAAATTGAAACTAATTCATTCCACTGACACAAAAACCCACAAAACATGAGCTGTATTCAACTTTTAACAGCTCAGATCTTATCATATTAACAAAAAATAACCAAAAATCTCCCAGTAGTGCAAAGAAAATGCACACATATATCATAAATATCGATCCCAGAAAATTATAATTCCCACTTTCATATACTGAAAGACAAATTGATATAGTAATCATCGTGACATTATTAGTTAAAATGTGAACAAGTATTAAAACATAAATTGCAAATATATTCGTAATCAGAATATTTGACCGAAAAAAAAAAAAAAAAAATCACAACTATTTTCCCAAAATGGCAGAGGCCTGGTCAGAAACATGAGCTAGTGTCATCTTGTCTCTCTTTAAAGATGACATAAGCTAATCCTGCTTTATATGATTACAGGGAAGCAGCACTCATAACAGATGAGGTAACAAGGCTCCTGCAGAGACACCGTGTTCGATTCCTCTGCAAATCAAAATAAGACAGCTCTGATGTTCTTTGATCGCATAATCCTCATCACCAGTTCGGGGATGTCCAATTAAATTTACATAAAGGTGCATTGTGTAACTTTCTTGGTATGGGGTCCGTCCAATGCTTTTCTCCGTGGTGTTGTTGTTGTGTTGTCAGTATGTGCGTCAGTTGTCACAGTGTGGCATTAAAGCCCCCTATCATCATGGAGATGAAACGAGACCGAGTTACAGGTCAGATCTGTGGAGAGGCGAACCAACTCACAGTCAGAATGCCTTTTTTTCTAGGTGTTTTTGAGCTATAAAACCACCCATAATTGAATACATAAAAGGATCACGATTTCATGTTGTGTGTCAAACGATCTCCAAACTCATATAATCAAGTTGAAATTATTTAAAGTTTAGTTTATTTTAGGATTTTTTTTAAATTTTATATATGATTAAGTATATTTATTTTATTTTTTAGATACAAAGATTGTAGAACAGCTGGATATATAGTTTATTTTGGATACATTAATGTTTTTCTGTCTTATTTCATGTTCAAAATTTTCTCATTAATTTTATGATTTATACATCACAAAACTGTGCTAAGTATATATGTTGTTGTTTGAAAGTTGTTGTATGTATGTTTATTTGTAGTTGTTATTTTTTATATATCATCATTCTTTCAATATATGAAAGATATATCATCATGATTTACAGGTCAGATCTGTGGAGAGGCGAACCAACTCACAGTCAGAATGCCTTTTTTTCTAGGTGTTTTTGAGCTATAAAACCACCCATAATTGAATACGTAAAAGGATCACGATTTCATGTTGTGTGTCAAACGATCTCCAAACTCATATAATCAAGTTGAAATTATTTAAAGTTTAGTTTATTTAGGATTTTTTTTTTTTATATATGATTAAGTATATTTATTTTATTTTTTAGATACAAAGATTGTAGAACAGCTGGATATATAGTTTATTTTGGATACATTAATGTTTTTCTGTCTTATTTCATGTTCAAAAATTTCTTTCATTAATTTTATGATTTATACATCACAAAACTGTGCTAAGGTAAATATATGTTGTCTATATTTATTTTCAGTTTGAAAGTTTTGCCTAAATAAATGAAAGAAAAAAATTGCATTGCGTAACTAAAAAATAATGTCAATGAAACGCACTTTAGAAAATGGGGGCAGGTGGGGACCGTTTTTGAAGACTGTATTTGACATACAATTTTTAAAACTATTTATTCTTATTATTTGTGCTGCTGTTGACCTGGACCTGATTGCAGTATTTCGTTACTGTGTATTTTTTATACTGAAATGACAAATAAATTCTGATTCTGATTCTCGTTTGAATAATTTTGATTCCAATATTGACCAAAAAATTGGTGATAATGATTTTTTCATAGCTGAGCAGCCCTAAACTGCGGGACCGTCCAGGCAGAGAAATGACATAACCACAGAAACCAGCAGGTGATGGACCCCCAACTAAAACATTACATTGTGCACCTTTATTCCTCTCATTATCAGCAAAAAAACTATAACTTCTTTGCACAACTCTAGACCCAGCTGTTTTCAGACAGAGCCCCGTGTTAGAATCCAGCCGCCGTGGTCCAGATAAAGTAGGTCAGGATAATTAACAGATATGACGCACACTGTTTTTACCTGCAGTTTCCAGGATACTTTTATGTCCTGTTCATCTGCTCCACGCTGGGAGTGTCTGCAAAGTTCAGTCCATGCTTCATCTGCAATACAAGAAAGTTAGAGAACGTGTTAGAAAATCTTATCTACCGAGGAAAGTCTTATGCAACTGGCTACTGGGTAAATATCAAGGCCAGTAAAAATCTGATAAGTAGAATAATGAGATAACCCAATAATTACATCTCTCCGTTTACATGCACAACAGAAATCTGATTATTGAAAGGACTTGGCAGTTACGGATTTATAGGCCAACTGCTGTATTTGAAAGAGAATTAATTTTGTAATAACTAGTCTTCAATAAGTCAGTCTTCAGTCTTTTATAATAACTATCTGTCAGGTTTAAACCCACCTAAACATTGTAAAGCAAGTAGAAAGACAAGAGATTAGAATCGTTTTCTCATGAGGAGGGCGGCCCACCTAAACATTTACAATGTTTAGGTGGGTTTAAACCTGACACTATCAGTGTGCAAAAATATAAAAATATCAATATATTGTATCGTTTAATGTACTGATACAGTATCAATATCATGGTCTGTTGTATTGCTAAATTGCCAAGAGTATTTTTTGGTATATTTTACTAGACTAATTTGTTACAGAGCTACAGTTTTGTTGCTTGTTCAGATGAAGGAAACTAGTTTATGCAACACATTTGACATTTTCCTTGTTTTGAGGATTAAAAATGGTGTGTTTCATATTCACTTTGCACAGGAAGTGGCTTAACAAAGACTTTTAGTATCACAGCCATGATTATTATACATGATTATTTTTTACTGAATCGTATCGAATCAATTTGAAATATATCGTCTTGCGGTCCACGTATCGAGGTACGTGTCGTCTCGCGGCCCACGTATCGAGGTACGTGTCGTCTCGCGGCCCACGTATCGAGGTACGTATCGAGGTACGTGTCGTCTCGCGGCCCACGTATCGAGGTACGTGTCGTCTCGCGGCCCACGCATCGAGGTACGTGTCGTCTCGCGGCCCACGCATCGAGGTACGTGTCGTCTCGCGGCCCACGCATCGAGGTACGTGTCGTCTCGCGGCCCACGCATCGAGGTACGTGTCGACTCGCGGCCCACGCATCGAGGTACGTGTCGACTCGCGGCCCACGCATCGAGGTACGTGTCGACTCGCGGCCCACGCATCGAGGTACGTGACGACTCGCGGCCCACGCATCGAGGTACGTGACGTCGCGGCCCACGCATCGAGGTACGTCGACTCGCGGCCACGCATCGAGGTACGTGTCGTCTCGCGGCCCACGCATCGAGGTACGTGTCGTCTCGCACGCATCGTACGCATCGAGGTACGTGTCGTCTCGCGGCCCACGCATCGAGGTACGTGTCGTCTCGCGGCCCACGCATCGAGGTACGTGTCGTCTCGCGGCCCACGCATCGAGGTACGTGTCGACTCGCGGCCCACGTATCGAGGTACGTATCGTCTCGCGGCCCACGTATCGAGGTATGCATCGTATCGGCAACTTCTTAATGATACCCAGCCTTAATTTAGGTGGGTGGGTATATGATGAAAAACGAAATTATTCAAACTAATTTACATTAAAAAGTATTCTAAATGTATATCATTTTAGAAAATTGGCTAAAATAAATAAATAGCATAATAAAGCACTTTAGTAATTAGTTTGTATCTAATTGCATATTGTACATTACTGTATAATGGGTCAAAGAAGAGAATGATCCAACACTCGACAGCTCAAATCTTCAGAAAAGTAGAATAAAAATAACAAAAATCTTCCTTTAGTACTAAGAAAAACTCCACAACAAATACTGAACCTCAAAAAATAATTGTTCCATCTATGTATTGAACGATAAGTTCAATACATACATACAAACAAACAAACAGAATAACAGAATAAGGGTTAGTTAAACATAGTTAAACATAATGTATTGAAAGTGTAGATTTAACACTACATTGAGACATAAAAGCACGCATTAGCTTCACAGGGAGAACAGTGTGTGCTATAGCCACTGTCTTGAGGCTTGATGCTTCACACTGCAGTCACAGAGGCCCCAGTGCCCCGTCATACGAGATAAGATAATAAACACAGTGTACAGACTTCTGCAGGGCGCCCTCTCTGACCTCTCATCTGATCTCTGCTAACTCACTATGCGCACGTATGAAAAGGTCGGGTTAGAACCTGCAGGACATACTTGAATAGTTATACATTTATAAATTAGACTGAATGTATGGAAATCATTCTGTCACACAAAGTCGCCTCCAGAAAAATATAAAATAACAACAAAAGTCAATTTTAGCTGATAAGCAAAACAACTTAATACATTTTGAGTAGCTTGAATAGGCTTAACTTTTTTTTTGTTCAGATCACAAAAGGCCTGTGAATAAGAGATTTTTAATAAATTTGACCAAGATGAAGCTCAAAAATTGCTGATACAGAACATGCAAAAATGAATACTTTAAAAAGAGCCCATATTATGCAATTTTCTGATCTGTGTTATGTTGTTTCCTTACCAAAAACATACCAGGGAGTTGTGTTTTGTTTCATTCAAACATGTCTGAGTAATCCTGCATTATTAGTCTGACATTCCCAAAGTTCAAAATGCTCTGTCCACCTTGTGATGTCATGAAGTAGAGGTTTTCAAGTTAACAGCAAGAATGAAAGAATGAAAAAATGATGCAAAGACAAAATTATAACATAGATCAGAAAATAGGGTACAGCATTTTTCGGACTATAAGTCACTCAGGAGTCGCAGTAGCCAAAAAATGCATAATGAAGAAGAAAAAAAAGATATACAAGTTGCACTGGACTGTAAGTAGCACTTTTTGGGGGAAATTCATTTCATAAAATCAGAGACCAGGAACTGACATTTCATCTTGAAAGGCAAGTTCTAGTATTAACAATAGAAAAGAGAAAAACAGACCATTAACGAACAGTTCTTCAGATAAGTATAGCATAAACAACAGAAAAGAACAAGTTTACCAAACTCTCCATCTCACTCCAAATCACTAAATCTATTGAATTCTTCATCCTCGTGTCACTTCTGTGCAACTCCGTGACCTCCAGAGGTAAACAGAGTGCCGCTTCTTCTGCGTAGCTGTCATCAGACTCAGCATCAGTTCCAGTTATAATTATGATACCAGACAGGACAGCAGCTCGTTCTTTCTTCTGCAGCCAACATGCACAGTAGAAAACAAAGTGACAGTGGTACAGGAGTACACAAGCCTGGAGCGCCCTCTCGCAGCTGTCATGGTGAAAATTTTAACACATAAGTCGCACTGGAGTATAAGTCACAGGCTCACCCAAACCATAAAAAAAACTGTAACTTATAATCAGAAAAATACAGTAATATGGGCCTTTTACATTGGACAAATACCACTTTGACTTTGAGGACAAAACATTCACTTACTCTTTATTATGTTCCCACCCATGTCACTAATGGTCCCAAAGCCTGAATTAGTGGAAAACTGTCCTGTTCAAAGTCTAACGCCACATGACTTTTCAGGAAATCTGTAAATATTTTCTCAACAATGCAATTATGAATTAGCTAATCAACCATCAAATGTGTAACCATTAAACCAGACGTCATTAGTCTGTGCATTTTCCAGGAGAAGACCTCATATTTCTTTGCATGCATTTCTGAGAAGTTTTGTTGGAACATTTCTTGAAATACTCAATGCTCAGGATTTTGCATAAGTTAAAGATGCACTATGTACATTTTTTGGATGTCAGATGTTCCACAGTATAGCATTTATTGTATGTACTTATGTGGATATACTCACAGGTTACGTTTAATTCTAAAAATACCTCAGAAAACATGCATTCTTACAGTTAATAGGGCCACCACTACAAGGATCTGACCTGTAACATGGCCTGGTTGCATCACTTATTTGTTTCCATGGAGATAGATACATTTAATGCCATACTGTGGAACATTCTGAGCATTAACGATAACATTTCTACGGAGATACAAGTAGCGGACCCTCAAACAGGAAAGTTACATGTTAGTGGCCTCACCTCTGTATACATCTGACCTTTAACGTGGCCTGGTAGCGTCACTTATTGTCTCTATGGAGATAGCTACATTTAATGCCATACTGTGGAACATTCTGAGCATTCACAATAACATGGAGACAAGCTTGCTGATGCAGATTTTTCTAAACAAAGGTAAAGGATGTCATTTATCACAGGGGGTTTTAGAGTTTCCTTTAGGCTTTTCCTTTCAGGGTCAAAACAGTGAATCTTCTATAGGAGTGGGTCATACAGTATATGTCAAAACAACAAAACAAACACAATCTATGTTTTGGACTGACCTGACAGCAGTAAATCAGACGTCTTAATAACAGTTTGTGGAAAGGGAAGAGAGGTCAAACTGAGAATGACTTAAAAGACACGCCAGAGTTCATGTTAAGTTGAACCTTTTGAGAGTAGTTTTGAATAAGTATACGTGCATCTTTTATACAGTATGTGGCATGTGGACAATGTAACCACCACCTGCTTGTCTCCATGGAGATATTATTGCTTTAACCCTGTAATGTTCCACAGTATGGAATTAAACGTCTCCATCTTGTATTACTGATCCATAGAAACACCTGTAAGTGAATAAATATGCTGATTAAACAAACATGACAGCGTGGACACCTCTCACCTCTCCATAGAATCAACCTGTATTATCACTGGACCTAGTGATGTCACTTGCTTGTCTCCTTGGAGATTGGTACAAGAAGGTAGCAGACTCTAAACCAGAAAAATTACATAGTGCACTTGTAAAGAAACTACAAAAGTGTTAAAAAAAATGAAATTATATTGTCTGTTAAGGCTATGCAATTAATTGAATTTTGATCGCGATTTCGATTTGTGCGTCAAACGATCTCCAACCTGATATAATTGACTTGAAACGATTTAGCTTAAAATTTTTATTTTTTTTTATTTTTTATTATATAAATAAGTATATTTATTTATTTATTTTGAATACAGAGATTGTAGAACAGCTGGATATATAGTTTAATTTGTATACATTTATGTTTTTCTATGCCTTTATTAATTTTTATGTTTTATACAACGCAAAACTGCTCT